TTAGAAAGAACCACGCACACAGCCTGTAAATGTCGGGGCTTCTCAATCATCATATAATTGTCAAGAGAACATCTGACCCAGGAGGTAAGAGTCATACGCTGGGAGGATGAGCTGGTGTTTAGTGTTAGGGAAACTGAGTTCTGAAGTTCTGGGGCCTTTCAGGAGTCTCCAAACATCCCGAGGCCTGGTTCTTTAAAAACAGCAACTGTGGGACCAGAGAGATGACTCAGTGGTTAAGAGCACTTGCTCTTTTTTCTAGAAGACAGCCTGAGTTTGGTCCCCACAACCGCCTGGGGTCACTTCAGCACACACCAAACTGCTTTCCTTCTAAAGATGGTTTAAGGCTACAAAAGACTTGGCAACCAGGAAAGAAGTCTCCGAACACACAGAATCAAAGTTACTACTTCGGTGTACTACAGGAGGATGTTACTTTCATTGTGAATGAAACAACTTTCTCGAAGCTGACAGGTGACATTTGAAATACGAACATGTTAATGACAAGGGAAGGCGGGTTGCTGTCCTGGGATACCACTTCTATTTTAGAGCTCGGGAGGGTCATCGCTTCCAGCAGCCTCGGAGGCGAGGCGGCTTCTACCAGCTCCTACCAGTTCCCACACTGATCCTGGGCATGACCCCTGTCTCGAGTGCACACAGGGCATATGTGCCGTCTACGGAACAGACTGAGCGACAACTCAGCTGCTAGTGTATGAAGGGCACCTGTCCCCAAGTCACAGTCTGACCTCATTCACTCAGGGGTCTTCTCTTTCTCGATTCGTCCATTCCATTCACTGGTTCTTATGATTAAAGGTCACTGCTGATGGGTTTGGGGGAGGGGCACATCAAAAAGGAAGCCACTGGGGCTGGAGAGATGACTCAGTGGTGAGGAGCACAGCACACGTTACCCTTCCAAAGGACCCATGCTCAATTCCCAGCACCCACACAGTGGCTCACAACTTGTAACTCCGGTCCCAGAGAATCTGATGGTTTCTTCTGGCTTCCTTGGGAACCAGGCCCAGACATGGCGTATAGACATGCATGCAGGCGAAACACCCATACACATAACGGTTGAAAAACAAAATTAAAAGGGAGTCAGGTGACATTCCATTAGGAGCCAGAATATTAAGTAAATGTAGTCACGTGATAGGAACGGTTCCAAATTCTGTTATACATGTCCTTCGTTTCTTGTGGCAGCCTGGGTGTAAATTACAGGACTGAGCCTGTGGCTGGTGGCTTGTTTTCAGTTTGAGCACAGTGAAAAGCACACAAGCTTCAGAATTCCAGAAACGGGAGATAGTTCCAGCTAGGTGACCTAGAAACCCACTGTTCACCCAGACTGTGTGTAGACGGGGTCATCCCAGCACAAGGAGCTGGAGTCCCGAGTTCAGGTTTTGGCCTTTGATGTTCCGGTTCCTGTCAAACTTTCTGCAGGTGTGTGTGTCCTCCCTGCTGTCAGGGGTCTTTGTTTGGTTGGTTGGTTGGTTGGTTTTGGTTTTTCGAGACAGGGTTTCTCTGTGTAGTTTTGCGCCTTTCCTGGAACTCAATCTGTAGACCAGGCTGGCCTCGAACTCACAGAGATCCACCTGCCTCTGGCTCCCGAGTGCTGGGATTAAAGGGATCTACTACTACAACACCTGGCTCACTGCTGTCATGTTTTGATTCCCACCAAGACTGTTATTAAAGTAGCCTTACCCTTTTTCCACAACCAATAACTTTGAAATCTTTAAAATCGGTTGCTTTCAATATTTTGTAAATTAGGCAAAGTTTGAAAATACAAATTCAGCCAGGGCTACACAGAGAAACCCTGTCTCAAAAAACAAACAAACAAACAAAAAAAGTGAAAATTGTGTATTACAGTGAGGGCCTGCATTCCTCTATCAGCACAGGAGTTGCTGGTGGTATTCGGGATGTGAAGGTGTCAGTTAACTCAGCCAGAGAGCAGCTTTATTTTCCTTTTTTTTTTTTTTCCTGCACTAGTTGGTCATTAGCCATCACTTTATTTTCTATTCTACATAGGACAACTAAGGGTTAGTGTTCCAACTGACCTTGAGATGTAAAAATCAGCCTTTGCCTCTGCTTCTCGAAGTCAGTGGTTCTCAACCTTCCTGACGCTGTGACCTCATCTTGTGGCGACCCCACCCCACCCTCACCATAAAATTATTTCGTTACTACATCACAACTGTCATTTTGCTATGTTATGAACCGGAATGTAAATATCTGATATGCAAACCCTGCCACAGGTTGAGAACGGCTCCTTTAGAGCTTTTTTTTTTTTTTTTTTCCCTAAGTCTATAAAGTATAAAAAGTTCCAGAAGCAGCAGTGGAGAAGGTAATTTTCCTGGAAGACAGATTCTCCCAAAGAATGGTGCTTGATCTGACTGCCAAGAACTGTACCTGCCAGGCTGGCGACTTTAACCTTGACACCACCACGGGGAACGACCAAAGGGTGTGTCTGCCCTTCCAAGAAGACAGACATTGAAAACCCTGACCAAGAAAGAGGAAAAAGAGACCTGGGAGGGGCACCTGCTTCCTAAGGAAGCCTACACATTAGCAGAGAAGGGGGAAAGGAACCAAAGCTATAGTTTTGAGATTGTACAGTTGGGAGAACTCAGAAGGGAAGTCAGAGTCCCAGGGAGTTGGTACCTGCAGGAGGTTATAATTCTGTCAGCTTTGCCCTGGTTTCTGTCAGTCATCATGTTCTTGGACCAACTCACCAAATCACATCCAAATTACGCAGATCTAAAACAAACTGTTGAGGAGCTGGAGAGATGGCTCAGCGGTTAAGAGCACCAGCTGCTCTTCCAGAGGACCCGGGTTCAATTCCCAGCACCCACATGGCAGCCAGCTCACAACTGTCTGTAACTCTGGTTGCAGGGGATCAGTAGCACCAGACATGCATGTAGTGCACACATATGTGCATCCAGGCAAAAAACCCATACACATAGAATAAATCTTTAAAACTACCAATGCTTCCATGAATATGATATCTAAGATCCTCCTTAATTGTTAATACTTCCCAATGAATACTTCCACACCAGCTGCTCTGTGAAGTGTAGGATCCTTATGAAACCCTTGATTACTGAACCGACAGTGATTTGTGAAGTCATTTGGGCTAAAATTCCCCAGGTGCCCCCTGCTGCTAAGTGCCACCTTGTGAGCCACAAACTTGAACAGCTTCTTTGTTAATCTGGTAGTTAGTTAGCAAGGCCTTCGCACACAGACTGTCATTCCAGGTTCCCTATTCAAAACTACTCTCATTCTAACAGGCTAAACATACAGGTCAACTAAATGTAACCAGGCACCAATTGGATAGTACAGAAGCCTGCACACTTCTGGCTTCAAAACACAAATTATATACAGCTTTATGGATAGACACATGTCCATTCATGACGTCCTTAACACGAACCCAGAGTGAGCAAAAGCTTTGGAATCAAAGTTTGAATTTCCCAGTAAACACACACGACATTATAATTTCTTTAAAGTTTTTACACACCCCCAAGAATACTACTTGCCTGTGGCCTACTAGGGACAAAAGTCACTTCTAACATAACCCAAGTCAGCTTCATTTGTGGTGGAAAACCAAGCCTAACAAAGATATCTATCAGGAGATTGCTAATGCAATTTTCCTTTGCTTAAAAGCACTTTACACCAGCAAACGGTGGCATTTGGGCATTTGCCAATGGGTATTTTCCAGGTAAATCTCCACCCAACTTGCCCATTTTCCCAGCTGTGATGTGCCGCCCGTTGCCAAAATACTATCCAGTTTTTCCAAGAGGGAACGTGAACCTCTTCGACAGCATTCTAACTTCACTCACAAATACATTCCAGGACAGTACGAGTCAGTCTGCTTAACAAAAGGAGGAAATCCCATGACAAGGCATGGTGCTTTGCCAGAGACACTTCTGGAGAGATCTACGCTTGCATGCTGTGGCCTGTGACGAATCACGCAAAGCCATGTCTACCAAGACCATCATTTTCCACAGTGGGAGACACATTTTCTTAAAACTGTGTTCCCGTCAATCTCTTACTGGCTTTTTTTTTTTTTTTAAATTTCTATTTTCGGCGGCGGCCCAAGGAAACGGCGGCCAGACCTGACTCCAGCATACACACAGACTCGGGTTTCACCCCGTCACCTGTTGGCTCCAGAACAACATCCCCTTTGTGAAAACTTACAGCGCTCGTGAAACGCGTTCTCCCGAGAAAACACTTCCCTAAGTACGCGACACGGCTCGAGTTGTGAAAACAAACTCCGCACACCGCCTGCTTTATCCGCGTACGGATTAACGTGAGCCTTTAAAGACGGGCTTGGAGGAAGGATGTCCCCGTCTTCGGGGACACAGCGGCGGGGAGGGCTGCGGGGCCACCCAGCCCCGGGGAAGCAGGCTCGGCCCTGCGCCCAGGCAGCGGCGGTGGCTCTGGCCGCCAGGGGGAGCCTCGTCCCGGTCTGCCCCCACGCCCCGGGCAGCACGGTGGAGGCCAGCGCCCACGCCCGCGATCGGGTCCCCACGGTCGGGTCCCCGCTGTCCCTGCCCCGCGCTCGCATCCAGCCAGCGGCGCGCGCCCCGCGTCCCCCGACCCGGTCCCCGCGCACAGGCCCGCAGCGCTGGGCGCCGCTCTGCGCTCCAACCCCCGCCAGCTCGGCTCCGGCTCGGGGCCGCCGGTCGCGCCGCCTGCTTTCCAGGAACTGTCACGCTGACCGTCCTCTGGCAGGTGTCCACCGGGGCAGCCGCCCGCCCGGACGGCATTCCTACGAAAGTTACCCAGACGCCGGAGTCCCGTGGCCAGCCGCGCTCCATTCCCGGTCGCACCGGACTGTGACCGGCGCGCTGCAGACGCCCCGATTGCTTCTGTAAACTTCCCCCCGCCCGCAGGTGCACGCGCCGCCACAGGCGCGGGCGAGTGTGCGAGGGGGCGGTGCTGAGCCTCGAACTCAGGGCCCCACACGCTGAGCAGGCGCTCCCCCACGGCGCTACACCCCTAGCCTTACAGGGCGACAGCTTACACAAATCATCTCCACGCTGTCCATAACAATGCCAGCAAATGGCTCGTTTACCCCAGTTCTCACTTGGAAGGGCTCATTAACATACGAATTCTCCCCGCTTAAGACTTCCTTGCATTTAAAAGCAATTCCTGCGGCTTAGAGCCGGAGATTTATTTTTTAGCAGTAAATAACAGCAAAAGCAAAGGAGTCAGGCACACGAGGCACTTAAGTAGCGAGTAAGGGTTTTTAACTATCATCCTTGAAACACAAGAAAACGCCCCGCGCACGTTCATGTTAATCTTGTTTCTGTGCTATTTATAGGGGCTCTAAGAGAGGAATTTGGCTTCAGCTGTCTGCAGGAAGGGCTCAGAGAAGCAAAAACTGGACCTCAAGGCGAGCCTGGAAAGGAATGATCATTAGTAATGATCATTAGTAATTAGTGATCAGTTGAAGTCCACGATTCTCCTGCGCCACAAGCTTTAATCGGGACAACAGCCTTATCAGGTGGGGGGAATGCCAAGCGAAGGGGCGAGGAACACTTGGTGCTCCACCCTCCCTAAACTGCCAGCAAATAAACGCACCGTGAAGGCCAGCAGTTCCTACTTTAAAACTCAGTATGACGATTTTGCAGCATATATTTATTTATATAGAGAACAATAGCCTATTGTAGCTGCGATTTAAAAATATACAGGTTGCCTTAAATAGATCCCTCAAGTAAATAATTGTGTGGCCAAATTCTGTTATCGCTGCTGCAGACGGAGGCTGCAGACAAGCTGAGTTTTTTTTTTTTTTAAGTTGCTACTTTTTTAAAGTGACAGAGACCAAAAAGGTCCTGGCTCTGCTGGTGTTTTCAAACTAGTTCAGACATCACAAATCATTATTTGAGATTCAAGTGGATTCAGGTTTTCCAGATGATTTCCAAAGAGCACCTCTGGCCTGAGGGCACGGGGAGTTGTGGAAAACACTCTCATGCACCCACCTTACCCTGTCGATCCGTGAAATTCACCACGGTATCTGTATCTGAGTCGTTTTCTTGTGTGGTTTTTATTTTATTTTTGGACAGGGTTCTTCATCCCACCCAGGCTGGCTTCAGACTTGCTGTGTAGCCTGGCTTCCCAGATACTGGGATTAGCAGAGTGTGTCACCCCACACCACACCTCACATTTCCCTTTTCCTGCTTCATTCTGTTGGAGCTTCTCAGGGAAGAAGACATCAGCTAACGGCATCCTCAGAGTTCCCTTGGGCTCACTGCACTGAACCGGCTACTGATTTACATCACACTCGAAACTGGCTTGTCAGTAAAATACAGATTCTATGCGGCCAGGCTGACCCTACTTAGAAGAACTCTTAAAGGAGGCTGGCTTCACACTGAATGTTGACCCACAAATACTCCCACTACATCCTGTAGTGAGGTTTATCAGTATTAAATGTAGCCACTGTGGGCGTGTTACAAGGTAACTACTTGTAAATACCGTTTGCCACATCTCCAACAGGTACTGTCAACTTGTCCTTTGTGTTTCGGCCAGCGAAGCAGTTTGGGGACAGTTAAAAACTTCCTACTAACTTTCAATCTGAATGAAACAGACCCTTGTCCGCCCTGAAAGGCAGCACCACTGTCAACAGTGAATTTATGCAGATAGAGAGCAAGGCCCCCAGCTGGCATCCTTTTGTTTCAGGTAGGTGGAATATTCAGCTGCTTCAAGATCACACTTTAGGGGGCTGAGAAAGGAAACCCAGAAATTCTCAGGGCTTAGCTCCCTCCTCCACCCTGCGGTACTCCGCGGGGTCACCCGCCCCTTTGGCCTCGCTCACAGCACTTAGCACAGCCTGGCACTGGGTGCCTAGTCACTGCGCCATTGACTTCTGCCCTGTGGGAACGTCTGGAGTTCACTGCTGTGCCTTGCACAGATCAGAGCAGTGCAGTGAGCCCAAGGGAATAAATGATTCTCACACGTTCTTCTCAGGTCCATACCTTATCCCAGTATTTCTAACGCCATTTAACACCATTTCTAAGCTTCAGCCATTGTCCCAAGGATGGGGTTGTTTTAGGAAAACAAGGGCAGAGAAACAAAGAGCTAGTATTTTGTCAAATGCCAGCTTATCGAGTCTGGTAGAAAGAGATAAAGCACAGGCTATAAGGAAGCCTATGGTGACCTTGAAGTCTCTTTGGCAAAACACTTCCTGGGCTGGGGAGGTGGCTCACTGCGTAAAGGGCTTGGTGTGCAAGCATGAAGACCGGAATTGGGATCCCTGGAGTCCGTGTAAAAAACCAACTGTGGCCATGCACATCTGGACCTCCATGCTGGGGTTGTAGAGAGACACACAGCTTCCAGGGGGTCACTCACCAGCCAGTCTGGTTGAGACCACAAGCTCCAGGTCCAGTGAGAGACTCTGTCTCAAAAGTAAGGTAGAGAGAGCCGTCGAGGGAGACAACCAGTGTTAACTTCTGGCCTCCCAATGGTCGCCCACAGGTGAGCGCGCGCACACACACACGCGCGCGCGCACACACACACACACACCCCACATACAGGCATGCACACATGCACACACAGAAGCAAAGTACAGACTTCCTTCTTAGCTTTAAGGCTGTATTGCTCTTGATTTCAAAACATTTTAAAGGCACTAAGAATGAAATGCCAGTGTTCAGGAAAAACACACTTCTGATTAGAAGTCTTTTAAAACTGAAAACAGGGAGAACTGGCGGCAATGTTCATTATGCCATCTCATTCACGTAACCTTGAGAGGCAGTTGACAAACAAGTACGGTTTTAGTCTTTGGTAGGGGCATGGTGTAGGACACAATGTGGTTTTCACAGTGCGCAGAGTCCCCCAATCATACATCTGTAGAAGAATTAGTCACCATTCTTGTCCAGATCAGCAGGGCAAACGCTGGAGGAATAACTGGAGTGAGCCGTCTTTTCCTTGCAGGTTGGAACCCACTGTTTCCGTTGTGGCCTGGGAGACCACTGAGCATGTGGACGCCCTCATTCCTATTGGCTGAGCCTGCTCCACCCCGGGGAAGGGCTGGAAGGCAGGTGGCAAGGCTTTTCTGGAGTTAGGGGCCTTCATGGAGGCTTATGATAAGTTTCAGCTCCACGAGGTCTCCAATTACTTTCTTTACCCTTTGATTATATTTAAAGCATCATGATTAGAGAGCACGGGTTCTTCAACAGTTTCTACACTCCATTCCATCATTCCATTGTATTTATGACTCCAAACCTCCCAGCTGCCCATCCCCCGCCCCCACCCCTCCTTCAGCGAGTGGGGCCATCTTCACTTCAAAGTACCCTGGTGCACAGGGTTTGTAGTCAGGGGCCTAAATGCCTATTCTCTCAGCAGGTACTTGCTAACACTGGGACAGATCACTTCTCCAAGGCTAGCCTTTGTGATGGTGAGCGTCCCACCTCTAAGAGGCTGAGTCTGGGCTAGGTCCTGCACACACAAACCCCAGCCTCTTCCACGCCAAGCTGCCTGCTCCCAGCACTCCATCAGCTCTAGTGGCTTTTGTTGTGATTTTTATCTCAGAGTTTGGCTGCCGATCTCGACACTAACACCAGGTAGGTGCTTAGAGCGGTGCTGTTCGGAGACCTCGGCACAGCCGGGTGAAGAATACAGACCTGGGATGCTAATCTGATGTTTGTCCAGGTAACAGCTAGTAAAAACCAGCAGCCACCTTGGCCCGCTCTACCCTTCCCTCCCAACTACTCTGGGATACTTCTGTTCACACCCGAAGACATGCTGGATGAACAGACTTGTGTCCAGTATAATCGACCAAGTTGCCTCAGAGTCTGACCTTCAACTGCCTCAGCTTGGTTGTCGGGTCTCGGGTGTATTACAAACATCTTTAAACTTCACTACTGAAAAACTACGGATATGTGAGGAGGAGGAAGAAGAGGAAGAGCAGAAGGAGGAGGAAGAGAAGGAGGCGGAAATGAGGATGAGGAAGAGGAAGAAGAGGAGAAAGAGGAGGAGGAAGGGTCAGGTCAGCAAGATGCCTCAGTATGCAACAGCACTCATTAGGGCTGACAACCTGAGTTCAATCCTTGGGTCCCCCCATAAGGTGACGAGATGGGACCCCAGAGAAAGGAGCTATCCGCTGACTTTCACAGACACCAGAAGTAAATAAATTAAAAAATAATTTTAAGTCAATTAATTTGAGGTTCGATGTATAAGTTTTTGGGGTGTGTGTGTGTGTGTGTGTGTGTGTGTGTGTGTGTGTGTGTGTCTGTGTGTAAAACAGTACTTTGTTATGTAGCTCAGGTGCCTGGAAATTACTGGAGAGTCCAGGATGACCTGGAACTTGCAGCAATCCTCCTGTCTCAGCCTCCTTAGCACTCAGATGATAAGGATGATACGTCAGACCTGGCTTCAATGTTTAGTTTTACTATTTAAAGGAATTTAATTTTTCTTTGGCTTATGAGACCCAATACTGAACTCATGGCTCATCTTGATTTCTGAGCCAATAACTCCCTGATCTCTAAAGCAACACCCTCCCTATGTGTCGAGTATCCCCAGTGCAGGGCGGGGCTGGAGCCTTCTGAGCTCCGGCTGCACCCTGCTGGCCTATACTTTTCCAGTGACTTCCAAGATCCCTCTCTTTTCTGGTGTTTCCCCGGCAAGGGTGGGCACTGCTTTGAGCACGGGGATGGGTGGCAAACCTGTGCACACGGCGAGGCCCCATGTCTCCCGTCGACCCTGCAGGCCTCGTGCCTGGGGACAAGAGCAAACAGTCCCCCACTTCTGTGTCCATTCTCCTTCACGCAACATCACGTTCTTACTTAGGATCTCTTCCTCGGACTTCTCCCACTTCCGTGGGAAGAGAGAAGCCTTTCCATTTGCCGTCCAGGGCATCCCTCCAGTCGCCCGCCACTCGTCACACCTCCTCACTGGCTCTGAAACAGTTGGTCTGCAGCCCTGCAGGGCTGTCTCCTGACCACCTGTGCTGACCCATTGCCTGGTTAACCCCTACTTCAGGTCTGAATTCACAACAGTCCAGCAGTCTGCCATGCTGTGTCTGCAACTGCTCCACTAGCCCCTCCCCCAGGACCGCTGTCTTCTTCAGGCCAGCCCCTCTACTGTTTTAATTTTTTTTTTTTTTCTGTCAGAAATTCTAGGACCCAGAGTGACAGGATTCCCTTTCTACAGCTGTATCCCTATGGAAAAGACCAGAGGCTCCGTGGACCACTTAGAATCTACCTATACCAGTGAGCATGCATCTCGAGGATGTCCTGGTTAATATTAATGGAATATATATATATATATATATATATATATATATATATATATATACACATATACATACACATCTGTTATAGACACTGGGTACCGAATTGACCGTGTGTGGCAAGCTCTACACCACCAAGCTACGCCGAGTATGAAAGAAGCATGCTTTCTAGCTCTGTCAGCACTCCTCGAGGCTCCTGTTCTCCCTTGCCATCCCAGCCCGAAGGCCTCAGGGTCCAGATATTTTTCCGCAATGAAAATGATGAGGGCTGCGGCGCAGAATGAACACAGACCACAGCAAATAGCATCCCACCTCGAGTAGTCAGCTGATAATTTGGGGTTGGGCCATCTCGTCTCTAACCTGGATGCTTCCTGAGAGCTCACAGCGCTCAGTGAAGATCCAATGATGGAGAAGGACAGAAGAACACGGCTAATTCAGGGGAGGCGCAGAAGCCGCAAGAGTACTACATCCTGAGGCAGAGTGTCCAAGTTGACTCCGCTTCAGATGCAAGACTGTAAGGTAAGAGTAGACCGCAGGCAGCTGGCTCTGGGCTACACTCAAAGACAACTTTTCCAGACACAGCAGGGAAAGGGGACCAGCAACCGTCTCACAGGACTTCAAACAGAGGTGACGCTGAAGTGATCCTACGCAGAGGCAGGGCCTGGCCACCGGACTAAGGGCGAAGGAGGAAGGTGGCGGCGGAGAAAGCAAACAGTGGCTGTGTGTGCGTTCTTCACCGACGCTCAGTGCAGAGACGCCGTTTGCTGGGTGTACCGATGGGGCCTGGGCTGACCTGGAACTCCAGACATCATCCACACCCTTTGTGGAGAAGGAGTTTCTCCTTGTGGTGTTCCTTGAGGAGGGCCCGGCACAGCGTTTTCTTTTCAGGGAGCAGTTTGTGACTCAGAGGCAGAGGTAGACTACATCGGCATAGAACGGGGCATCAAGCATGCATTAGAACAGTTATTTCTGCTTTTTATTTTCTAGAACAGTTATAGAGTTATTGCGGGCATATCATGTGGTGTCATTATCTTAGTGATATACTGGGCAAGAACCCAAGTGGATCCCTCCTTCCATACTGGAGCTTTTCCCTCATGGAGCAGTTGTATCCTAGGCACTCAGTCAGTCCCGTACATACCTTTTTTAATTCCTAAACAACATAGGGGGAACTTATCTCCCACAGTTTACAAACAAGAAAAGGGAGGATTGCTATTCAAATGTATCAGCTAGATACATTAGTAGAAAAGCCTGGGTTAAAATCCGCATGTCCTCTTGAGCTACTGTATGATTTGTTTCTAAAGCAGATTTTGTTTTTCAAGATAGTCTGTTAAATAGCTCTGGCTGGCCCAGAATTCCCCATGTAGACCCACCCGGTTGGCCTCAAACTCACAGAGATCTGCCTGCCTCTGCCTCCAGGATACTGGGACAAGTCATGTGCCGTCACATCCGGCATGGCAGAACTGATAAACGGCCGAGTGAAATGTTTTGCCTTCCCTAACTTCTCCCTGAGGAGCAGCCCTGGAACACGGAAGAACATTCTCGAAATCTGAATGCCAGGTTGTTCCAGCCAACATTGAGGCAATGGCTGTCAGCCTCCTTTAGGGCAGCTCACTGATAATATATTACTTTGCTGACCTGCAGAACCAAACATTTGTGTAGCTCCAAGGCAAATAACACTTAGGAACGCCTCCCCAGCGGTGGAGATTCCTTGAATTTCTGAAGTTGAGGGGGTGCCATTCCAATCTCTGCAGACACACATCTGATTGTCCAAACGCAACACAACGGGCTTATTGAGATCTCTGCAGGACAGATGCTCGGCTGCCTCTTCGTGACAGCCAGTATCAGTGTGTCCTGTGTCCTCACTCGGATATCACTCTTGCACGTAGTCAGTGGCTCACCCATCCACTCCCCAGCTAAGTCAGATTACGTGGCACCAAGGACAGACCTCAAGCTCTGTTCCACTGCATAACCCTTTCTGCTACCTCACATGACCTCCTGAGAGCCAAAGCCACTGAAATAATGCAGCCATACAAACTCGTCAGATAAAAATTGATTACAGTTCAAGTCATGGGACCATAATACATCAAAGGGAAAAAAAAATCAACTAACATTCTTTGGTTGAGACAATAAAAAGAAAGGGGGAGAAAGCACCCACAGAATCAATAAGCTGTCTGGCAGTGCCCATGGGCAGTTCTGCCGACATGCTGCCCAACAAAAATTTCACTGCAGATGAGGCTGAGCTTAAGTAGCAGGAGCCTATGAGGACCAGGAACGTAGGCTTGTGGAGAATCTACTTCCTCCCACAGAAATTCTAGTGGCAGCTTAAGACTGACTACAGTGTGGATAGAACAGACTAAGCCACATCGCTATGGCCCATTATTTCTGAGGCTTTAGTCTTCTTACAGTGGGATCTGATAGGTTCCCAGGAGCCTCTGAAAGGCTTTGCTCTGTGTGAGAGTGCGGGGTGTTACATTGGGGTCTGAGCTAGGCTTCCTGTGTGCTAGGCAAGCACTCCACCACGGAGTTACCTCACCAGCCTTCTGCTTTTGGGGAGAGTGCGTCTGAGAGTGCGGAGCCATTGAGTGAAGAGTGATAGCAACATACAGGATGGTTTTTACGCCATATGCCACACTGCATTTTGGGGATGTGAAGTGACACACTTTTTTGGTTTGTTTGCTTGTTTTTCCCCCCGAGACAGGGTTTCTCTGTGTAGTTTTGGCGCCTGTCCTGGATCTCGCTCTGTAGCCCAGGCTGGCCTCGAACTCACAGAGATCTGCCTGGCTCTGCCTCCCGAGTGCTGGGATGAAAGGCGTGCGCCACCACCACCTGGCTTGATGCATGCTTTTTTTTTTTTTTTTTTTTTTTTTTTTTTTTTTTTTTTTTTAGGATCTGATAATATGGTTAAAGAGCCTCTTCAGAGGGAGCTGCCACTCAAAAAATAAAAAAGTCAGCGCTGGCTGGGAAGAAGCTCCCAGTAAAGTGTGCTTGCCTTGCAGACATGAGAGACCCAAGTTAGGTCCCCAGAGCCCACATTTCAAAAGCAGCATGGGGGCACCCATGCTTAAAATCCCATTGCTGGTAGAATAATGAAATAAAAGATCCCCGAGGCTCACTGGCTAGCCAATGATTTGGTAAACAGATCAGTGAGAGACCTTATCCCAATAAAGCAAGGCAGTCAGCAACCGAAGCATTCCCAAATTTGACCTCTGACCTCTACATACATATATATATATGTATATATATGTACATATGTATCCACTCCCATGTGCAGCTGTGTGCACATGAACGTGCATACACTTGCATACACTCAGGCCTAAAAGAAATAAGTGAAATACATATATATATATATTTTTTTTCTTTAAAGAGGCCAAATAGCTACATAAGCAGCACCAAGAAGCATCTTCATGCTAGTCCAAGATCCTTCAAAATGGCATGCATCTGCTCCCTAAGGTCTCCTTTCATGAGGCACATTATGGTGGCATTTTTTTTGTTTGTTTGGTTTGGCTTTTTTGAGACAGGGTTGCTCTGTGTAGCTCTGGCTGCTCTAGAACTCACTTTGTAGACCAGGCTGGCCTTGAACTCAGAGATCTGTCATCCTCTATCCCCCCCGAATACTGAGATTAAAGGCATGAGCCACCACCACGCAGCTGTGCAGTCTATTTTTGTTTTTGTTTGTTGAGACAGGGTTTCTCTGTGTAGTTTTGGTGCCTGTCCTGGAACTCACTCTGTAGACCAGGCTGGCCTTGAACTCACAGATATCCACCTGCCTCTGCCTGGGATTAAAGGCACGCGCCACCACCGCCCGGCTGTGCAGTATGTTCTTAATAAAATAATATATAAAATATAGTCCGTATCATTCCATTTCTGGTGCTTAATCAGAGTTCTCACAGGAAGGAAACACAATGATCACATGTATAATAACCCAGGACACTGGAGCTATAAAATAACAACTTTATGAAGGAAATACAAGGAGCAGAGGAATTCTAAAT